CCTCCCCCTCCCCTTCCTCTTCCTTGATGAACCGTTGGCTGCTTTCCAGTTTCTGGCTACTGAAGATAAAATTATGGAGGAATTATGTGCTGTTTCTCCATTTACTCTGGTGCTAGTTGTAGGAATGACAAATGTCCTTCATCCCTCCTATCCCAGTGTGGGCAGAGTGTTTTTTATCGGGAGTGAAGGGGTCACGTGGCATTGGCCCGTCTACCACGTCAGAGAAGCACCTGCTTTTGTGATGTAACGGGACCTCCCGCCAGGACTGGGCTCTGCCTAGATCTGATGTGCTGCCTTTCCTTCTGGCAGCACTGAGATTTGAACTCAGGACCTTGTGCTTGCCAAGACCAGCACTGCAGTACTGAGCCGTGCTGTGTTGTTTCACTGGTTACTTTCCGGTGGAGTCTTAGCTCTCCCGGGTTCACACCTGAGCTGAGATCCACCTGACATGAGGCTGCCCGTCCGCTGGCATCACAGATGTGTGCCACGGTGCCCGGCTGCCCCCAGGTGTTCACAGTGTTGATGTGGTGGTGATGGTGATGATGGTGGTGGTGATGGTGATGATGGTGCCCAGCCTGGGGAGCTCGAGGCCCAGGGACACTCCCTCCGAAAGAAAGTGACCCATAATCTCCAACCACAGGCGTTGTGGAGCTCCACTCCAGGTCTGGAGGAAAGGGAGGTACCGACGGGTGACGTGGCCCCTTCCTACCTGTCACCTGAATTAGTGCTCAAGATGCCCTCTCTTGCAAGACAGGCTTGGGAACGAGGAGACACGGTAGCCATGTCACTGTGACTGTGTGGCGCTCGGCTCCCGGGCAGACGGCTCCACCGCCTCTTGGTGTTGCCGAAATCCCCCCTCCCCCCCCCCCGGCCTCTTGGTGCTGCCGAATCCCTGTAGTAAGATGCACCGTGTGAAGTCCAGGCTTGCTGGCTCTGGGCTCTGATGAAGCTGGAGGGAGAGGAGGAAGAGGAGATGGGGGGAGAGAGGAGGAAGACAGAGTGGGAAGGAGAAGAGGGAGCCAGCCTCCCTGGACCCTCCCCGGCCCTGGCAGGCCGGCTGCCTCCCGGTGCCCCTGCAGAGGCCCGTGCACCGCCCCCTGCCTGAGAACGGGCGCGGAGGTGGCTCCCCGGCATAGATCCTGGAAAAGAGCGAAGCAGCCCACGGCTCGGCGCTGCGCCGTCTCCCGGGGCTTGTGTACGCCCACCGTCTCTGCCGTCCTTCCTTCCTCTCCTCCCTGCCGACTTCCTTCCAGGGCTGGGCTGTTTCTGGGCGAGACGGTCCACCGTGGCATGAGGCCCAGCCCTGAGTGCTCCGCTCCTCTGTCCCTCCCAGGCCCTCCGGCCCCCCCGCAAGACGTCACCGTCCACGCCGGGCCCACGGCGGCTGCCGTCCAGGTCTCCTGGAAGCCGCCTGCACTGACTCCCGCCGGGCTGTCCAACGGAGCAAACGTCACCGGCTATGGCGTCTATGCCAAAGGGCAGAGGGTGAGTTGATGGGAGCGGAGGCAGGCTCGGTCCGGGAGGGCTGAGGCTCGGGCGCCTCGGTCAGCCGTGGTTGTGCCTGCCCCAAGACTCTTCTCCCCCGGGGGCGGGCGGGTGAGGACGCAGCCAGGCGGGTCCTCCCCCTCCCCTGACCTGCACGGCCCAGAAAGGCCCCGTCTGAGCCCCAGGTGGCCGACTACCGGCCTACGGGGCCGTGGCGAATCCTCGTGGGAAATCCCGCAGGATCCACACCTTCACCGGTGACCAGATGTGGGCTCCCTGTCCTGGCACACAACATGGGGGGTCTGGAGCGGGGAGTCTGCAGGCTCCCTCCTCCGTGGACAGAGCCTCCGGGTACCCTGCCGTGGGCTCCTGAGCGAGCCCTCGGGGCCCCTCGCGAGGCAGGGAGTGGGGCGCAGAGGGCGCGGAGGCTTGGGCAGCCGCCAACCCCTCCCCTGCGGTGCCCCTCCTTCCCAGGTGGCCGAGGTCATCTTCCCGGTGGCGGACTGCGCGGCGGTGGAGGTCCTGCGGCTGCAGAGCCTGGAGGCCAGCGCCGTGACCGTGCGCACGCTGTCCGTGCAGGGCGAGTCCGTGGACTCAGTGCCCGCGGCCGTGCCCCCCGGCCTCCTGGTACCTCCGGCCCCCCACCCGAGGACTGCCCCCCCACCAAAGCCATTAGCAACTGCCCCCGACACCAAAGACAAGCACCTGGGGCCTCACGCCAAGGCCGACACGTCCTGGGAGCAGAGCCGGGCGCCGGCCCCACCACACCGGCACACGCTGGAGCCACCGGGCCTGCAGGGCCCCGAGCCCGGGAGGAGGTCACCCTCGCCCAGCCGGATCCTCCCGCAGCCCCAGGGAGCGCCCGTGTCCACCACCGTGGCCAAGGCCATGGCCCGAGAGGCCGCACAGAGGGTGGCAGAGAGCTGCCGGGTGAGCGTCGCTCCCACCCCGCGTAAGCCCTCACGCACACCCGCACACACACATGCACGCGTGGACACCAGCAGGTCTGTGCACACGGAGATCCATCAGTCAACACAGACTTCTTCATGTGAAGATCTCCACGCGCTGTCCCGGAGGGAGGCCCCCACGCTTGTTGTAGACACGGTCCCCTGGGCTCCTTGTCCCTGTCCCATAGCACCGGGGCTGAGCGGGACCCTAAGCTGGTGGCATCTCCACGCACTCCCAGCTTACCTCCTCCCCTTCTCTTCCCAAGTTAGAGAAAAGGAGCCTCTTCCTGGATCGGGGGGACGCGGGGCAGGACGCCAACTCGGACGAAGAAGACGGCTACACCTCCCCCAAGGTCAAGAGGAGAGGCGCGTCGGTGGACGACTTCCTGAAGGGGTCGGAGCTGGGCAAGCAGGTGAGCGGGCGCCGGGCCTCGGTGGCCTCTGCCGAGGGACAAGGACATTCCGCCCAGAGCCTCCCGGTGGGGAGGCCTGTCCTCACCTCCTCTGCCCGGGCTGGCCCAAGCTGGCCCCATGTCCGGCCTCCCCATGTCCAGCCTCCCCTCCCGATCCCCCACGGTGAGGCCTCCAGGCCTGCGGCCTCATGGGCTGGGACCCCCTGGAGGGGCGGGGTTGAGGGAGCTTCCCGTCCATGTGCCTTGCTCCCCACAGCACCCCTGCTGCCATGGAGATGACTACCACACGGAGAGCAGCCGGGGCTCCGACCTCTCGGACATCATGGAGGAGGATGAGGAGGAGCTGTACTCTGAGATGCAGCCGGAGGACGGAGGCCGGCGGAGGCCCAGCGGCACCTCCCACAATGCCCTCAAGGTGAGCGCCGGGCACTGGCACGGGCGCCCTTGCGCGGTGCCCGCCAGCGCGGCTCCTCCCAGGCCCTCTCTAGGGCTGGCTCCACATTGGCCTCCCCCGGGGGACCCTGCACGGACGCAGGCACCACGCAGGCGCCCGTGATGCCTCGGGGGTGGGCAGCCTCCCGGGCAGCTGGGGGAGGGCTGCGGAGTTGTCGGGTGAAGAGGGCCCAGGGAGGTAGGGCGCCCCGAGGGCACGCAGCCGGTCACGCAGCCGGTCACGCAGCCGGTCACGCAGCCGGTCACGCAGCCGGGCATGCAGCCGGGCACGCAGCTGGGCACGCAGTGTGTATTAGAACAGAAGGCGGGGGGCCAAGGATGCCCAGCCCAGGGTCCCACAGCGGACTTCTGCGCTCCTTGCCGAAGCCATGGTGGAACCTTGGGGAATTCTTACCCACAGAACCTTCCAGATCCCTTACAGTCCTGCTTGGCTGCAGCCCGTGCCGTTCCTCACGTGCAGGGTCTGATCTGAGGCCCCGTGTGCCCCAAGCTGTGCCCTAGAGCAGAGCCCCCCAGAGTGTCTTTGATGGGGCACATAGCTGCCCGCTCACCTTCCAGACTCTTCTCCTGAGATGGAGGAAGATGCTGGAAGGCTGACTCCTCATCACCGCCTAGGGGCCGATAGGAAGGGGCAGCCTGTCCCGTGAGGAGGCCCGGAGGGAGGCAGCCCCCCCCCCCACCCCTCAGACACAGCAGGGTGGGCGTCCACCTGCAGGGTGATGCGGGGCCACGGGCTCTGAGGTGCTCCTGGATTTTAAAAAGCAGGGCTTTGACAGGCCGTCCTGGTTTTCTAGATTCTCCCTGGAAAGGGCCAGAGGACAAATAGCCTAGAATGTGGCACCGGAGCAGGAGGGTTGGCAGTTAGCAGAGATCACACTCACCTCTGTGTCTGAGTGTGGCCCGGCCCACGCACATGGATGTGGTGCCCGCCTGTGCCCCCCCCGCCGTGAGGGCACGCTGAGACACAAGGGGGCAAGCAGGGCCCCGCAACGTCACAGCTCATGTTGGCCAAGTAGCAAGCAGTGACTTGCCAGGGTGTTGCCTGCCTGGAGAAGGGGCAGAGTGTGCCCAGTGTTCAGGAGTACGGAGCAGTGTGGAGAGCCCAGTCATCCCAGACTCCCTGATATCCGTGATGCAGAATCATCCCAGACACAGCTCACACCATGACGCAGAGTCATCCCAGACACAGCTCACACCGTGATGCAGAGTCATCCCAGACACAGCTCACACCATGATGCACAATGATCTCAGACGCAGCTCACACCGTGATGCACAATCATCCCAAATGCAGCTCACACCGTGATGCAGAGTCATCCCAGACACAGCTCACACCCGTGATGCAGGGTCATCCCAGACACAGCTCACACCATGATGCACAATCATCCCAGACGCAGCTCACACTGTGATGCAGAGTCATCCCAGACACAGATCACACCGTGATGCAGAGTCATCCCAGACACAGATCACACCGTGATGCACAGTCATCCCAGATGCAGCTCACACCTGTGATGCAGAATCATCACAGACACAGCTCACACCGTGATGCAGGGTCATACCAGACGCATCTCACACCGTGATGCAGAATCATCCAGGCACAGCTCACACCTGTGATGCACAATCATCCCAAACGCAGCTCACACCGTGATGCACAATCATCCCAGATGCAGCTCACACCTGTGATGCAGAGTCATCCCAGATGCAGCTCACACCTGTGATGCAGGGTCATACCAGACGCAGCTCACACCGTGATGCACAATCCCAGACGCAGCTCACACCGTGATGCAGAGTCATCCCAGATGCAGCTCACACCCGTGATGCAGATCATCCCAGACAAAGCTCACACCGTGATGCACAATCCCAGACGCAGCTCACACCGTGATGCAGAGTCATCCCAGACGCAGCTCACACCTGTGATGCAGAGTCATCCCAGACATAGCTCACACCGTGATGCACAATCCCAGGCGCAGCTCACACCCATGATGCACAGTCATCCCAGACACAGCTCACACCGGGATGTACAATCATCCCAGACGCAGCTCACACCCGTGATGCAGGAACATCCCAGACGCAGCTCACACCGTGATGCAGAGTCATCCCAGACACAGCTCACACCGTGATGCAGGGTCATCCCAGACTCAGCTCACACCGTGATGCAGGGTCATCCCAGACGCAGCTCACACCTGTGATGGAGAGTCATCCCAGACGCAGCTCATACCCGTGATGCAGAATCATCCCAGACACAGCTCACACCGTGATGTAGGGTCATCCCAGACACAGCTCACACCTGTGATGGAGAATCATCCCAGACGCAGCTCACACCCGTGATGCAGAATCATTCCAGACACAGCTCACACCGTGATGTACAATCATCCCAGACGCAGCTCACACCCGTGATGCAGGGTCATCCCAGATACAGCTCAACCATGATGCAGAGTCATCCCAGACGCAGCTCACACCCGAGATGCAGAGTCATCCCAAACACAGCTCACACCCGTGATACAGGGTCATCCCAGACACAGCTCACACCGTGATGCACAATCATCCCAGATGCAGCTCACACCGTGATGCAGGGTCATCCCAGACACAGCTCACACCGTGATGCACAATCATCCCAGATGCAGCTCACACCGTGATGCACAATCCCAGATGCAGCTCCCACCGTTATGCAGAGTCATCCCAGACACGGCTCACACTGGTGATGCACAATCATCCCAGACACAACTCTCACCCGTGATGCAGGGTCATCCCAGATGCAGCTGACACCGTGAGGCAGAGTCATCCCAGACACAGCTCACACCATGATGCACAATCATCCCAGACACAGCTCACACCGTGATGCACAATCATCCCAGACACAGCTCACACCTGTGATGCAGAGTCATCCCAGACACAGCTCACACCAGTGATGCAGAGTCATCCCAGACGCAGCTCACACCCGTGATGCAGAGTCATCCCAGACGCAGCTCACACCTGTGATGCAGGTTCATCCCAGACGCAGCTCACACCTGTGTTGCAGAATCATCACAGACACAGCTCACACCGTGATGCAGGGTCATCCCAGACGCAGCTCACACCGTGATGCAGGGTCATCCCAGACGCAGCTCACACCGTGATGCAGAGTCATCCCAGATGCAGCTCACACCATGATGCAGGGTCATCCCAGACGCAGCTCACACTGTGATGCAGAGTCATCCCAGACGCAGCTCACACCGTGATGCAGAATCATCCAAGCACAGCTCACACCTGTGATGCACAATCATCCCAAACGCAGCTCAGACCGTGATGCAGAGTCATCCCAGATGCAGCTCACACTGTGATGCAGTCATCCCAGATGCAGCTCACACCGTGATGCACAATCATCCCAGACACAGCTCACACTGTGATGCAGAGTCATCCCAGACGCAGCTCACACCATGATGCAGAGTCATCCCAGACACAGCTCACACCCGTGATGGACAATCATCCCAGACGCAGCTCACACCCGTGATGCAAGGTCATCCCAGACGCAGCTCACACGTGTGATGCAGAGTCATCCCAGATGCAGCTCACACCTGTGATGCAGAATCATCACAGACACAGCTCACACCGTGATGCAGAATCATCCCAGACACAGCACAAACCTGTGATGCAGAGTCATCCCAGACACAGCTCACACCTGTGATGCAGGGTCATCCCAGACAGAGCTCACACCGTGATGCAGAGTCATCCCAGACACTGATCACACCGTGATGCACAGTCATCCCAGATGCAGCTCACACCTGTGATGCAGAATCATCACAGACACAGCTCACACCGTGATGCAGGGTCATCCCAGACGCATCTCACACCGTGATGCACAATCATCCCAGACACAGCTCACACCTCTGATGAAGAGTCATCCCAGACGTAGCTCACACCTGTGATGCAGAGTCATCCCAGATGCAGCTCACACCTGTGAGGCAGGGTAATACCAGACACAGCTCACACCGTGATGCACAATCCCAGATGCAGCTCACACCGTGATGCAGAGTAATCCCAGATGCAGCTCACACCGTGATGCAGGTTCATCCCAGGCGCAGCTCACACCTGTGATGCAGATTATCCCAGACGCAGCTCACACCCGTGATGCAGGGTCATCCCAGACGCAGCTCACACCTGTGATGCAGAGTCATCCCAGATGTAGCTCACACCGTGATGCACAGTCATCCCAGACACAGCTCACACCATGATGCACAATCATCCCAGACACAGCTCATACTGTGATACAGAGTCATACCAGACAGAGCTCACACCCGTGATGCAGATTCATCCCAGACACAGATCACACCCGTGATGCAGAGTCATCCCAGACGCAGCTCACACCTGTGATGCAGGTTCATCCCAGGCGCAGTTCACACCTGTGATGCAGAATTATCCCAGACGCACTCACACCCGTGATGCAGGGTCATCCCAGGCGCAGCTCACACCCGTGATGCAGAGTCATCCCAGACACAGCTCACACCTGTGATGCAGAGTCATCCCAGACAGAGCTCACACCCGTGATGCAGAGTCATCCCAGACACAGCTCACACCGTGATGCACAGTCATCCCAGATGCAGCTCGCACCTGTGATGCAGAATCATCACAGACACAGCTCACACCGTGATGCAGGGTTATCCCAGACACAGCTCACACCATGATGCACAGTCATCCCAGACGCAGCTCACACCTGTGTTGCAGAATCATCACAGACACAGCTCACACCGTGATGCAGGGTCAT